AAACATTCAGTTCAATTGGGATCAAATACTTACAGCTCAAACACTTGTCCAATTCCAGATGTGGCAATTCTGGATAAATCTGTGATCCGATTCCCTTGTAGGCGTCTGAGAAGAAAAAAGAGTCAGGGAGTCAGGAGCAATTAAATTTGACATTGTTGATACTGAAATAAACTTAAGTTCAATAATATGATAGAAGTCAACTGTATAGTGACCACTCCCCCGTTCTAATGATGATGACGTTCATTTGTTTTATTGACCAGATTATCACTAGACTAGAACGATAGATGATTGTTTATTTTTTTTAACACCTCTCTTTGTACATTTACAATTCTTTAATATCGCTCACCCGTGAAAGATATTATCAACATTCTGAGATAAGGTTCCTTCCCACGCATGGCAATAGAATAACTGCTATATCCGGCAAAAGATAGAAGTTACCAGAAGATTCTAATCTCTTGTAGCTACTTACAAGGAACCTAGAGTCTTAGGACCTGTCAAATCTGGTACAGATGTCAGCTTGTTATCAGCCAAAAAGCTACAAGATCCAAGGAAACAAAAAATTACGTAATGAGCTCTAATGAATATATATCAACGCTCTCTTTTCCAGCTGCGATCTTCTTTCAATAGCAACAGAAGAACAAGAAATTCGCTGTTCGGACAGTCCCTTTGGCTTTGTCGCGCAACACCTTCAAAACACTGTTATGACTGTTATGGATAATTGTTGTTGCAAATATAAGCTTCTTGAAATCTCTAGACAGCTTAGTCATGCTTCATGCGCATGCATACCATACGACTACCTAAAACATTTCGTTAAGTCACGCAGTTATTACGTAATGCTACTAAAATAGTTATTTTTTAAGCTTCTGGAACTTTCCAGAACACTTTGTGAATATATATAAAAGGACTCGCTTATGTCATAAAAGAAATCGTTGCCGTCAGAAGTGACCGACAGTTTAGAAAGCTATAACGCGAGAGAGAGCTACAGTAGAAGATTGCTAATTTCACGAAACTTTAGAGGAAACGTTGAGCTTGGCTGTAGTGGGCTTAAGCAATTTTATCGAACATAAGTACCGTACTGCCTTCAGGAGTCGCTCCTTATTAAGAATATCACTAGTTGTTTAATAAAGTAGTTGAGTTTGTAAGATTGTAGTGTTTTTCTGTCGGTTGGATTATACCGTAACAGTGATCAACTGTTTTTTTTTCCTTTTTTTTATCCAATTCTTTTTTTGACATGGATACTTTTCTATATTACTTTCGCATTCTTTTCGCTCATCAAGAATTTTAATCTTAAGATTTTTTCTGAATGATTTCTTTCAAAGGTAAGGAGTATTTGCATAAGCTTCATCGCTGAGTTTTGCCATTTAGCCATTTGTTAAACATCAAACATCTTTAAATTAATTTTGTGTTAGCAATCGCAATCGCATACTTGTAATCTGAAATAAAATTCGCATACTGCAACAAGTGATGGTTTTTTAGGCTATGAATACACCTTAATCGATATTTCAACAAATGATGCGCGATTATGCGACTTGAGTACAGTCTTAGCTGAGAATCGCGCCGATCGATTAAGGCATGCGTGAAAGAAAAAAAATAATACAAAAGAAACCATTTGTGTGTTCTTGATGACATAAAAAACGACCCTCAAAAAATTTGAGGGGTTTAAAGTTCCTTTCCGAGAAAAATCATGTCTAAAAAAAGGAATTGACCTAATTTGGTAGAATTTTTCATATTCTCTTGTCATACAAAACATTTTCTTAGCCTTGCATTAGGAAAGTAGTTATTCGCACCATTTCAACTTTGCTCCTTACCGAATTCTTTGCGATTTTACCAGTTTTATGCAAGTATGTCTAAAAATACCCACCATCTTTGGAGACTTTTAAATTGATTCAAAGTGCCATCACCTATTGTCTCTAGCGCGTTTTTTTGAAGGTACCTATTAACCAGAATAAAGAGAATTGAACTTATTCAGCCCAACTACAACAACAGCAATACCTACCTAAGAAAGGGAAGGGGGGAGGGGCAGGGAGGGGGCTGAATTTATATTCTTTTACATATTTGATAGATCTCATTATCACGGCGGGTCCAATATTTCACTAAAAAAAGTACGTGAACTGTAAGAGGTGCCGCCTGTAGTTTGGATCCTAAGTACACTGAAGGATTTATTTGTCCACAGAATAAGTGGGGTCTGTTAAGATATTCATTTTAAACTCGCATTACCCTGTAGTAGGCAAAGAATGATGATGCACAGCCAACGTACTTACAAGTTATTGAGATGATCTGTGAGTCCCTCCACTGTGTCCTTGTGTATACGAGTCAGCTTATTGGAGGAAAGATCACTGAAAACGGACAAATATAAAACAGTAATCCAGTGCCGCTTTTTCCAGGTTGATTTCATCACATATGAATCTACCTTTCATGGTTCGAGGTCGAGGATGTGTGTGACAAGTGCTCATGAAGTGTTCGCATTACAAAACCTAGCACCAGACCTCTTTACCTTATTGAAATTATGCACGTGTTTTGTGTTCACTTTTACTTGCGGAAAGGGAAATTATTTAGCTATTCAGACACAACCTCTCCAATAATGCCAAGTGTTATGCTCAAATGACATAAAAAAAGGCAAAAAACGTTGAAACACCACTTACAGAAATTGTAGGTATCGCATTGCTCGAAAAGTTCCATTGTCGATGTTTGCCAAGTTGCAACTAGCCATGGAACTACAAAAGTTGTATGAAAAAAGACAGCGTTGTAGAGAAAATTAAGTAAGACTGATATTCAAATACTTTAAATGAACTGTAAAAGAATGTTGCAAGGGTTCTCCGTTTTTGCTGACTTTGAGAAATGTTTCAGAAACTCAGGTTTTTTAAATAAAGGAACGGTCCTTTTCTTCTTGGGAAGTATACGAAGGGAGTAACCATAATGAGACAAATAAAGAGGAACATTCCTATACATTTTTTTTAATACGAGTTTCTGTCAGGCCAAAATCAAGAGTGATGGCTGCAGTTTATCCCTTGACAATTCGTAGATTAATCAGTGAAAACGATTATTCTCTTATATATCGTAACAATGGGTGGTTATGGGGTAATTAATCGTGTTATAAAAACAGGATTAATGATTCCTTATCGTTTGCCTCACGATCTGGCCATTTCGGATGTGAAAGCAACATTTCTACGGATACTTTTTTTCAACAGCTGTGATTGGCACTCGATTTGCAGACTTCCGACGTTCCATGAGCACCTACTCGTCCGGCGGCGAAAACCGCTCGATTTGATAAGGAAAAAAGTTCATTGACTGCGATTACTATTTTTTACGCGCACAGAGTTTAAGGGGCAATTCAGAGAAGACTCGGCAGAGATTCCAGGAGCAAAGTAGACATCGATCAGAATGGCTGCATCATAACGCACTACAACGAATCATAGCAGAGTATAATGTTTCATGACCAAACGCTTAAACAATCGACATCGTCGACTGAGTAAAACTAAACGTGTTCGGATGAAACGTTAGGATCCATTTCGACAGTGACTACATCATGAAACTAACGTTCAGTATGATACTTCTTATTAGTTACTGATTTATGGAGCCACTGAACTTACAGATATGTCATATTCTCAAACCCAAGGAAAATATCTGATGGCAAGGATGGTCCAAGTGGATTTCCATCAAGATCTCTGTAAAAGTGAACCGTTTGAAGTAAGTAGCAACTATCTGGTGAATGCATTTAAGGTGATATGACGTTTAAATTTTTTTTTCTAATAAGCTATGGTGGACGATATTGCAAGGCAATTCAAATGACTTTGATCGAATGAGGAGGAATTATAACTTAATATCTACAATGATCATATTCTCAAAGCATTCAATTATGTTTGTGTGATTTTTAAATCATCTTAAAATATGGCACTTACAGTTTCTGAAGCTGCGTTAATCCTTTAAGAATGACCTTCGCATCAACAATTGACAGTAAGTTGTCGCTGATTTTCCTACAAAAGTGCAAGATTTAGCATCAACTTATAAGTGTTCAGCAGTTGGCTAAAACAATTCACGCAGCCTCGTTTCTGGCTTCGTTTGTTACAGGCATCCAAATATCCACGGATCTTATAAAACTGAATATAACCAATTCATCATCATTTCATTTTTTAGAGAGTTTGGATAATATAAGCTTTAAGCAACATTTTGCCAATCAATCTAGATGTACTTTGATTCTGTGACAAATAGCTTTCATAAACGTATTTCACCAACCAAAACTCACAAAGAAGAAACGCCTTCTGGAAGGTAAAAACTTCCTGAAATTGAGTTCTTGTAAAGATTTCTGGGAAGAAAATGAAAGCAAATGTCGTCAAATAGAGGCGGACTGATTCCTTGGAAACAATTTACATCACTATATTTTTTTCTACAGAATAATGATAATAACAGTTAATTTTGATTAATTAATTTGAAAGAGTTATGGTAAACTCTACAGGGACGATAATTTTCACGACCAGCTAATCACGATGGAAATGGAAAATATTGATTGGAAATACTTTTCTACTCGAAACAATTTTTACAACACGATGCAAACTTATTGTTTGATTTAAATCATTAGGAATTTAAGAATTCCCTTACATTAATTCCAGTTTCTTCATATTCCGGAAAGCGTTTCGAGGAATGTGTCGCAGTAAATTATTTGACAAGTCCCTGGAAAAATGGAAAGAATTCATGAAAGAAGAAATTTATTAATGCTTCCCAGATTAGGCATACAATTTTTTCTAAAAGCGAAATGTTCCTCTTATACATGATTACTTGCGCTTTCCTGTTTTATTTATCATTAGGAAGACGCTGTTAGTATCCTAATGATCAATTACTTATAAAATGGTCGAAATCTATCAGGTAATAGATAGTGAATAAAATATTGAACCATGCATTCAAGAGTATTTATAAATAACTTGAAATCAGATAGCTGAATCAAAGACATCCCAAAACCTTTTTCAAACTTTTTTCACCACATGATTAATTTTTCCTTTTAATATGCCATCAGGAGCCCATTTCTCGTCATGGGCTCCTGATGCCAGACATCATATATATATATGTCTGGCATCAGGAGCCCATGACAAGAAATGGGCTCCTGTTGATATTGAGCACTGTTTCACTGTTTCCTCCAGTTCAATGGACGATACGTCTGCCCTGCCATCAAGCTTCCCTTAGATACACACAGACACAATTACAATATAATGGTTAAATTGCTTACTTCTTTCCTGATCTAATATGAAATACATGCTTTTGACATTTTCTGAGAATTCGCAGTTTTTTTCTTTTTCATTTACTACTTACAATTTCTTTAAAACAGTCAGGTTCCTGAAGACGTCTTCTGTAATCGAGCTCAAGGAACAACTTGAAAGATCTCTGGGATAACAGATTTGATTATTAATATAGACTACAAGCAGTCTTTGCTTTCGGTGTACTCCGTTGCGCGAGTATAGAAAAGACAGCGCAAAAAGAAATTATATTATGTTTTGCATTCCGAGCGGGACTCTAAGAGTGAGGCTCATTAACACGCTCTCAGAACACAGCACGGCCATTTTTTTCTTTGGGTTAGGTCGGTAAGGGCCAGGGTTTGACTTGCCCTACGGACCTCGCCAAAAAGGATGAACTGCTCGTAGTCTACAATTAATAAGTATGACAATGACAAGAAATTTGAATTCTAAAGACAGTAGGTTAATTACAGCAGCAAGTACGTTTTTTGGCTGCAAACGTCACTCGCGCATGGTTTTACAAAACATAAGACCAAGATGACTTGTATCAGACCAATAGACATCATTACCGTGGCCTTAGCAGTCTGATAGAAATGAAATGAACAGATAATATTTCGATCTCAAAATAACTAATAAATAAAATATGTTCTCATATAGACTACAGTCACATACAACGATTTCCAGCCCTGAGAAGAGCTGAAATAAAACACGTGTCTGAAAAAATACTATATCTTTTCACGCGTATTTGATATCGCTAACCAGCTGCGGACACTTCACTCGCCTTTCGCACGACTCGGTCAGGTTGATGAATGAACGACAAAACTTTTAACATTCTCAATCCATGGTAGTTTGTCGAAATTTCCTCGGATTATGGCTGTTAAAAGACTGAAAAATCCGTATCGCTTACAGACATTGACATTCAAAGTTTCCTTGAAGCGGAAGAACTACCAAGATACGGAAAGAAAACCCGAAAGGTAGGAATTCAGAGGCTTTGGTGATTGTTGCAGAAACCCACTGCGTTAAAGAAAATTTTTGCGGAGCGCTGGTTCGACAATCAATAGAACGTTATCTTTTCGATTTCTTGCTTATATTTACGATCCACACAACCGCCAAACTTTCTACATTCAAACGTGACCAAATCTTCTGTTACATGATAGTGACTCTATTTATCTGCCATTGCAACGGAAGTACACGCCGAAACTACGTCAAACCAAGATTAACATAACTATTTGTCCCTCGCCTCCATGTAAACAGGCCCTAAGGAGCTACTAATGTAAAAGTCCTCATGTACCACATGGCCGTGCATCCATAACATCACGACGTATGCAGTTTCTCTAGCTTCACCTGGAGGTTGCAATCGAGTTTAGCCGCGAGGTTTGGAGACTTTTAAGATTATTTTTCCGTGCATATAGCTCTTTCAAGCGACGAAATTAGTCATAATTGGCGATGCGAATTATGACTGACTTCAACTGAGGCCTTGCGAAGCTAGGGACTCTATATATATCGTTATCGGCTCTCGCTGGTTTAGACGACGGTTTTGTCGCGTTTGAAAGTGCCGTCACGAAAAAACAGCATCGTTCAATGAGAGATTTTGATTTTAAAATCGCACAATTTCAAAATTACTAATTTTTTTTACACAAATCTACGCAATTTTCTTACTGTGAATTCTAGTATACAACGATAGAAGCATGCTGAATGATTTGTTTGTTTTTCGCTCACAAGTGGAAATTTACAATTCTTTGAAAAAGCATTTGGTCTCGAAATATTTGCTGCGCCGTGAGTAATTCTTGACCTTCTCACCTAAGACTCACCTAAATATCCCTCACAGCTAACTACTGACCTCTTCGATGAATATTTGTGAAGTCTTACATTTTCCTTCCTCTTATAATCCTTTTCAAAGGAACATTCTTTTGTCCTCTCGTAATTCCTGAATTAATTATCTTTCAAGAGGGTCTGGATGGGGTT